TATATTTTTATTCAAATTAATGATGCGAATATTTGTCGCGATGGTTTGCATCTCCAATGTCAAGACAATCGGATCCATATCGGCAAGGAACACGCTTAGCATCTCGTGAAGGTGAAGGATGCGAGTATTTCTCGCGATGTTTTGCATCTCCAATGTCACGACAGCCAGATCCATATTGACAAGGAGTGAGTTTATCCACTCGTCGAGAAGAAGGATGTGAGTATTTCTTGCGATGGTTTGCGTCTCCAATTTCATGACAATCTGATCCATATCGGCAAGCAGTGAGTTTATCCACTTGTCGAGGAGACGGATGTGAATATTTCTCGCGATGGTTTGCGTCTCCAATGTCATGGCAATCTGATCCATATCGGCAAGCAGTGAGTTTATCCACTCGTCGAGGAGAAGGATGCGAGTATTTCTCATCATGTTTGGCATCTCCTATGGCACGACAATCTGATCCATATCGACAAGCAGTGGAGTGGTCAGGGTGATGTGGAGGCTCTTGTAGTTTGTAGTCGTGGGCTTTTGATGAGTCTCTCTGTAGCTCTTAAGTTAAGTGAACGTGAAAATATTTTGTTGAAAAACAAACCACTTTGTAAGAAAAATCATTGTTGTGCAGATAGCATATTAAATGTCTTTGGGTGCAGACAACAACAATGGTTCTTTTCAAGTGATACATTATTCGCTCTAATCTTGCATTAGATGAAACACTAATGAGCAGAGGGAGTAGCATACCCACTAGTCTCCGTGTGTGAGTTAAACACTGAAAAATAAAAAGTTGTTTTTTTATCTTTGATCTCATCTCACTCAGTACTGAATTTTTTCCGCTCCTCTGTGTTTCAGTGAATTTATACACAAAAAAGACGGATATGTGGAAAAGAAGATCTGACAAAGCAGCGTAGTAAATATTTCCCTTCACTCTGTAATTTTGCTGTATCTACGTTAGAACTTTAGATTAACTTTGAAACATAAGCAACGCAAGCTCTGCGTCATCAAAAACTCAATGGTGAAAATTCGACCATAGATCAAATGTAACATTTATAATGAAATGGCATTCCACAGTATTTTGAAACCTATTTCTACATCATTTCACATGCGCTTATAAAGAATATGTCCACATAAAAGATGAATTCGACTCCGTGATCTAAAATAAAGAACATGGATGCACAACACCACTCCTTAGAAGATCTAGAAAACAAATTTCAACAATACTTGAGTCCAAAACGAATCAAATTTCTTCTTGTCTCTTG